CTGGTGGCTGTGTTGATCTTTGCTCTGCTGGCAGGAGCACTGTGCTTTGCTTACAGGAGAAATACTGCTCATTTTCGGGGTCTCCCTGCACTCGGTAGTGCCTATTACCGACAATCCGGCTCCCAAGCTACAGAGTCTGATGGTAATGTGCTAATCACAGAGCTGGAAGATCACTCAGGATAACGTGACAGACTGACATTGCCACAATGCTTTGGACCAGTGTTGAGATATATACTTTTCATTCAGTATTCGAAGGATATTAAGAAAAACATTTGAGCATTTATTCCATCGGGCCATGTACTAGCTCATAGCTCTTTGTCCTCACTATCGTACAACAATTGAGCACATTAGTTGGACGACTGTGTCTTACTAGTAAAGTTTTTTTCTTCAACAAGTGCCACTTTGGGCCTACTAGTACGACCTTACCCTGGACACCAAGAATATCAAATGTTTATTTCCATAAAGCCATTTGTGCATTTATTTGATACTCTTGAGATCTAACTTAAGGTCCGTGTATTAATACACTCTTTGTCCTCATGAGTCAGACATTTCGGTTGCACGAGTAGAATGACTAGAATGAGGAGAATTTTACTAGTGATGTTTTTTTTTTAACTACTAGTGCCATTATTGTCTTATTGGTATGAATTTAAAATTTATGGAACTCATTTGATCTCAAATATATCGAATAACCACTCAAGCAGCTTTGATAGCCTTGATATTCAAAAGTCCAACCTTGGCAAACACATATTACTAGTGAGGCATAACTGCATGCTAGTAGTATTACTAGTGACATCATAGAATTCTTCATGTTAGCAGAAAGCACTTGACTAGTAGTACTAGAAGCACACAGATGTCAATTAAAGTACAATTTTGCCTCACTGGTAACATGAAGTTGTCTTCCTAGTATGTTCTTCTTCTTCTCCTTTCGGCTCGTCCCAGTCCAGGGGTCGCCACAGCGAGTCATTAATTTCCATCTGTCCCTGTAAACCGTCCCACCAACTCGCATGGTCGTCCTGGCAAAAGTTTTACGCCGGATGCCATTCCTGACGCAACCCTCCCCATCTCTCCGGGCTTGGGACCGGCACTAGGGAACAGCGCACCCCCAGGGGAGGGCACTGCACCCCAGCGGCTGGGTTTCCTAGTATGTTAGAGTTGCCAAAATGTCTTCCTGTAGAATGAAGAACATAATGACTAATACTATTTTTTTTAATTAGTCTGTCCAAGTCGTACTACTTGTTTGCTGAATTGTCTTTCTAGTGTGGACAAAGAGCGCACTCGTGCACGGCCCTTAAAAAGCAGGTGAACGAAAAGAAAGCTCAAATATCCAGTTTTGACCTTCCTCTCAAAAGAGTATACGCTGCCGAAACCCGGGATCGAACCAGGGACCTTTAGATCTTCAGTCTAACGCTCTCCCAACTGAGCTATTTCGGCCTATGAGAAGTTAATTTTCAACACATCAAATGATAAAAGGGAAAACCGATGCCTGGAATCCAAATCAGGTTGGAAATGGCTTTGATCTGGACAGCAGTTGAGTACAGATAGTGTAATAAGATAAAATACTGAAATGCTTGCCATTCTCTTGAAAGATTGTTGTCAAAAATAAAATGTTTTGTAATCTACTCTGTACATTTGGATTACAGTCCAATTAATGTTGTTGGAACTGCACTTGTAATAGCTATTTTGTCAGTATTACTAATATTCGATGTAAAACCAGGTTCTGTTTTTGTGTGCTGAAAGTTTCAAACCTCAAACCTTATAAGGTTATGGAAGGCTGTTGGTTCCAAGCATTAATTCCATTTCCTTGATATCCTGCTTCAGTTCTTTGTCCTCACCAGTAAGTCAATTCAGCACACGTCTAGTCGAATGACAAGAGTGCACTCGTATCACCTTCTCCCAGGGATCCGCGGAGGGCCAAGGGCCGACACGGAAGTTCCTTCGTTGAGCCGCAGACAAGGGACGCACCAGAAGTTTCTCTGAGTTTGAGGCCGGAGTTGGTCAAAAACTAAGTACAAACTTAGTCAGGAGTCCAAGGTTCAGGCTGGGCACAAACGAGTTTTATTCAATCAAACCCGGAGAGGTACAGATGTGCACATCGGAAAACTCTGAAATCTCCCGGGACTAAACACAGGTTTTATAGCGTTATGAGGGGCCAACCCCTCTCATTTCATTGGCTAGTCTCTACGATCATTTATCAATTCTAATAGTATCATAATGCGTTGTGGAATTCTGATTGGCTGTGACCTTCTTTGTCGGCTAGATTTTAATGGTATCTATAAGCAACTTCATGTCATGGTTCTGATTTATAATGGTATCACAAAATAGCTTTATTTTTAAAATATAATAGAGGCCCCTGCCGGGCCTTTGTGTGATTGCATGTGGGTTTTAGATATAACTATATCCCCGTAGGCATGGCAACTTGATGCATGTCGATGCATGCGAGTCTTTAGATTTAATTGTGTCTTCGTTGGCTTGGCAACCCGATGAAATCACTGAAGAACATGCAACAATCTTTACCGGTACGCATTTTGCTAATCCAATGGTGGGCATCCTTGCTAATCCGATGATGACCATCGCAGAATAGCTAACAAGCATCATCAATATACATTTTGCTCCTTGCTTATGCATTTGTTTGACATGTTCATTTCTCTGCTTGACAACCATTTGCCTGTTTTCCTACTTACTACGATTAGGTAACGTATTTCCATGAAACTAACACAAAACAGATATAAAACAGACACTACAGTAGCCACCTGGACCCGAGTAAAAGCACCAAAATGTCCACTAGTAGTTGTCCTACTAGAATGCCAAAGTTCTCCTACTAGTGAGGACAAAGAGCGTACGGGTACATGGACCTTAAGCTGGACATCAAGGATATCCAATAAAGGCTCAAGCAAACGGCTTTCCGTATAAGATGACATATAACTGGATGTGTTATTTGTTGCTAAGCAAGTTATAAGCTGTAAATTGCATATTTGTGTGTATTCCAATAAATTCAAGGTGGTCCAACAAATGACAAATTTTTGAGTGATAAAAATGATACATGAATGATGTTTTCATTTGTGGGTCAGTGAATACATTTCGTTATTCTAAATGTCCTACTCCATATTATATCATACACCTCTAGCCACACCACAATTGTTGCCTGAGAGTTGAAAGGCCAAACAATAAAGTAATAACATTGTGTTAATGATCTCAACTGAGGTCACAAGATGTCAGAGAGAACCAATTCGGAAAATTGTGACAGTAAATTGCTGCTATTGTCAGTCTGAAGAGAATCCGGCAGCAGGATGTAATGAATCATTCATGAGGAGTAAAACTGCAGCAGCTGCACTTTTCAAAAACAAAAGGGCAACATCACTTTGCATGAATGTATAAGCACCAAATGTTCAAGAAGGCATTAGTTCTGCGTGTGCCGTTTGTTTCATGAAAACTTGTGTTTGTGGTTTATGAGTGAAAAGTGCAGTACAGTACGTGAAAAAACATCTGTGATATAATAGTTTTTCTGTGTCTTTGGTGCATTTCTTAGATCTGAATTGAAATCTGGAAAACAGTGAGTGCATTTCTCAAATTAATTTATACAAATAGCAAAATGGAAAAATGTTTCCTTTACAAAAGTCTTTTTTTTTCTCTCATATTGCTTAGAACACACATCACCACTAAATATTTGCACCACTGAACATGCCAATGCCATCAGAACGAAAAGTCTTGTGTCATTGCATAGTCATGTCATCAATATAACGGTGTATTTTGGAAAGATGTTCTAATGTAAACTGCTGTTTAAATTTTGATGACAAATTCAGTATTCTAAATTGAAAGTTGAACCTCTGTGTATGTGGAAGATTGATTGCAATAGACTGGACAAGATTCACATTTCACCTTTACTGTTTGCACTGTCATTTGCTGACAAACCATTTCATTGTGAAAGTAAAGACAGTACTGCATAGCACAAAGAAAATGACAAACCAAAAAAAGTAAACATCTGAACATAGGACCATGTTCATGCAAGACTGTAGGAATTATGGTGTAGTCTTTATCAAACTCTTTTGTAATTTTATTTAGTTAGTTTATGGAAAATTATTTTAGTCATTAGTTGATTTCATAATCCTACCATCACTATTTTAGCTTATATATTAACAGATGGGTGACCCGGTCCAGTGGTTAATGCGTCAACTTCGCAGTGCAGAGGTACCGGGTTCAATTCCAGCTCCGGCCTCCCTGTGTGGAGTTTGCATGTTCTCCCATGGCAAGTTAATGGAACACTTTAAATTGTCTCTTGGTGTGATTGTGAGTGCAAATGGTTGTTCGTCTGTGTGTCCTCAGATTGGCTGGCAACCAGTTCAGGGTGTACTCCGCCTACTGCCCAAGGACAGCTGGGATAGGCTCCAGCACACCCCACGACCCTTGTGAGGATAAGCAAATTAGCAAATGGATGGATGGATGGATATTTTTACATTGCAAGTGTTCACCTGTATTTTAATGTTTGTTATTCAGAGTTGGTTAAAGTACTCACACTAGTTAAGTGAAAGCCGTGCAGGTGATACTTGTGTTAAAAAAAGCGCTGATTCAACTCCTTAACAAAAAGTAAAAAAAATAAATTCAAACTCTGAAATACACTTAAGTACAAAAGTACAATAGAATTTTTACTCATCCAATTCCCATTTTGAAACTTGGGACAATGCAAAAGTAAACTTCTGTACACATAATCTCCCCCTTTATTTGAGTTGCATTGAGCATCTGTACTTCTACTAAAGTAGAATCTGAGTTCTTTTTTTTTTTTTTTAACAATTATAGTAGACAGCAACACTTTGTAACAAAGCTAAATGGGTAAATAAAGCACTCTAAAAATCTACGAAATTCTGTAATAAAGGTTTTTACTTTGTGTAAATGATTTCACATTACGTATTTGCACTCGTATTTTCTTTTGAAGCGGTCACGTTCGTGAACAGGATACCGAGCGTTACTTTATTTTGTACGTTGAACCGGAAAATGTACTTCATCTTACATTTTTAACTTGTTGAAATCGTTGGCGCTTGACAGCAGAGTCGGTGGTTTCATTTGCCCCAATCTTTTCACTTTCGTTTTACACTAAAGGAGTTAGCCCCACTTTCTTTTACAGCTCAATTCTCCACGGAAAATGCAATCTTTATGAGTGCGGCAAGAGAAGGATAATTTTTAAAAAATGTTCCGAACGGCGACACTTTGTTTGTTGTTGGTGTTGTGGACAACTGTATTGAACAGGACATGCTCGACTTTTGGTAAGCAGCCGCCTGCAAAAGACACATTTTACGCTTTACTTTAATTTTTCCCCCACCTCAGTAGGAGGGCGAAGTTTCGTTAATGCTTGTTAAATGTGTCTCACACCCAGTAAGAGCTTCTCCCACTCACGAACTAGGACAATAGCTGCTGACCTATTGAGCAACAATAAAATAGGCGCAAAAACAAACAGATTATAAAAGTCCTTTAAATCAATGTTTGCTTGTTTTACATTATTCAGAAAGTTAAATGCTGTTCACTTAGAGTCTGAGTTAATCACCGAGTCATCCCGGTTGTTTCGGCTTTTCTATTATGCCAAGTTAAACAATGTATATTGATACAAATATCGCGTGTGCTTGTCTGGCGGTTTCACATTCAGGGGCGTGTCCACTGGTATATGTTCGAAATCAGCGCAGAGCTCCGGAAACAGAAATCGATACGACATTATGCTAGTATGCATTAGGTCTGAAGTCCAGTGGTAAGCCATCAAGGTCAGCAATGCCCATCGTTCTCCACCATCAGAATTACTGACCTACGTTTATTGCCATACCCAGTTTACTCTCAAACTAAACATAAAATTCAAAGAATTGCTCATTGTCTGACACAGCAACCACAAACCTTAGCCTTCAGGTCTGCGAACTTAATGCTCACCATAATGAGAAACCCCATAGACATGCTAACAAAGAACATCTATGGAAAGGTGTTATCACATGGAGGCAGCTTTATTTCGACATTTTATACACAAGGCAACTCAATGTGCTTCACACAAAGAAAGACACAACACCTACAAGCATTTACAAACAGAAGAGGTAATGACCATTGAGAAGCAAAGCAGAGCAAACAAAAATAACCTACCAAAATTACTAAAAGAATGAGCATTGACAACATTAAAAAAAAACATAACAGAAAACTCTAAAAATGTTTGAGATAATTTAAAAGTTAAAAATATATATTTTTTCCTGGAATTACTTCAATAAATAAAAATATTAGAAGACCTTTATCAAAGGCATGGGGCGGGGGGAAAGCAACATTTTCAGTCTGGAATTAAAAGCATTTACTGTTGAGGTTGACGCCAATTCTGTTGGCGGTTTATTTCATTTACGTCCAGCATCACAACTAAATGCAGCTTCACCATGTATACTCTGAACTCTGGGATTCACGAGTTGACCCAAGTCTGCAGATCTCAGAGTCCAACTGGGTTTATATTCAATCAGTATTTCTTTGACGTATTTAGAATCCAAATCATTCAGGGATTCATTGACCAGTAGCAGAATTTTAAAAACTATTCTACAGCTGTCTCAAATGAAACAGTGAATTTTATTCTATGTGAATAACATCCTTCTCCATCCTCTCAAATGCCCATTAAGATGCGATGTCTGCAAGATGTTCATATATTTTACTTTTTAAAAATGTTGATTTACAGTCATTTTTATTGTTACATGCTTATAATTAAAAACAAACTCTGTTTTAAAATGTACATATAAAAACATTAAAAGAGAACGTAACGAAATAATCTTGTTTTCTAGTGAGATTAAGCATTTGTGTGTGTTGTGCCTTAAGGAGGTGTGGCCTAATGATTGAAGTCTGGAGCTGTAGTCATTAGTTTAGTTGAGCATATTTGTGTGTTTTTACCTTACAATACATGACAGAAAATGCATCGCTGTCTTTTATACGTCGTACCTTGTGAATCAAGGTACAGTACTATTCTCAAATATGAGGTTTGTTTTGTGTTACAGTGGAGGACAGCTTCACCATCCAGCACTCCATCACAGGGAGCTGTTTATCAGCTCAGGACTCGGGAAGTTTGGGTGTCTCAGCCTGTGATGCAAACAACACATCCCACTTGTGGAAGTGGGGCTCGGGTCACCGCCTCTTCCATGTGGCCACCACCCTCTGTTTGGCGTTGGATGTCCACTCCAAATCTTTGTCCCTGGCGGACTGCGGCTCGGACATCCTGTGGTGGCGCTGTATGGATGGCACTGTGTTCACTGTCTACCAAATGAGCCTGGTGGTCAGCGGAGGCCAGTTAGCAGCCCAACGGGACGCTCATGACGCCTGGGTGAGAGGAGGCTCTCAGGAAAGCATCTGCCGTAGGCCATATCGCGGTGAGTGACATGTGACCAAAACTTCAGGAAGTGTCAACATCAAGGCCAAAGAGCCAGATTGCCACATCACTTTATGTGGCCCAATCGACTCAAAAGTGTATTTTCATGGTCCTTTGAGCTGGTATCTCACTGAGTTGCAAAAGCCTATGAATGCCGAAATTTGCGATTTTTGTCAGGGTTGCAAAACATTGAAAACACACACTCAGTGCCGAATTCACAGAATTCATGGAAATGCTGACGCCAACAGCATATTGGAGCCTGGGCCGAACAGCCGTACTTCAAAATTTTTAATGCATTGCAAAATGGAGCCCTATGAACAGTGCATGAAGGGAAAACCGTCTGTGCCTAGCATGACGATGCCTTCTCGATACTACTGCTGTCATTTACCTCCTCCCACAGAGCAGCACCAATTTTACACCAGCATTCGCTAGACATCATTTGCTTCTCTGAAACTGCGTGTGGCTATTAACGCTGTTGTTAGTTAAATAGAGGCTCATTTGCATTGAGGTAGGCGATTTCGTCTCCAAATATATGCACATTCTCTCATTTAAATACTGTATGTGCAAAACCACCGGCGCACTGAGACGCATTCTGCTTGGCAGCGCAGGAAGTGAAGCATTTCCACTTTCTGCGCTTGCTTTGTGAATTGAATGCCATGCAATTCACCATTTTTACCGGTTAGCGCCACACAAGAGACACACTCCTTTCGTGGATTCAGCCCTCAATTTTGTGCCGATAAGAAAAACTGTTTGGGATAAGTAAAAACTGCCCGTAAACATATTTGCAATTTTTTTCATACCGTGATAACAAAGTGTCCGAAGTCCAAAAGCACGTATCCATTAGTATTTGCCGATCAGTGAGATACTACCAGCTTTTGAAACTGAAAACTACCTCTTGGGTACTGATGAATGCGAAGGGCTACAAAACAGGTAAAGCAAAACCATGATTCACCATCTTATTAACCATATGGCACCCTACAGCTCAGAAAAATGCTACGAAATCAAGAGATTTAACTCTTGGGAATAAATGAATATAATTTCAGTGAACAAGTATAACAATATTGGTTGGAAATGTGTGTCAGTCTTTCTTATAGTGTTTAGTCCAGCAGATAAGAGTTAAATTCGTAAATTTGATGGTATGAGGTGAAAGAGATACAACACAAAACGGGTGTGTCACTTGACCGAACTGGTTCTTCTACATGTCTAACATCTTCGTTGAGGTGTTAAGCCTCATTTCTCTGTGTCTGCAGTGCTTTTATGCGAGATAAAACTGAAGTCGGTCAAATTCCTATTAGGAAGAGATGACATATCCCCCAAATCCCAACGTGACGTTGGCTTCATACTCAATCGTTCATGTTCATGTAGGAGTGGTTGTTCAGCTTTTGTCCCAGCTTTTTGCTGCATTCCTAATAGGTAGTGAAGTCTGTATTCTGCTCATATTTAGTCATGATGTATAACTTTCACATCCATGCAGCGAGACTCTGCGTCCTTGAAGCAATCATCACTTAAAATTGGTACACTCCTTCTTGGAGGCCTTGTGGAGACGCACAGATCGTTGTAACGCGCCAGTTAAATGAAAATCTGAGAATCGGTTTCGAGGAAACGAAAGTTCTGATGTCACACCTTGAGTTTTGGTGCCGCCCTTCTGATGACATAAAAATCATGTGAATCCCTTCCTGCTTCACACTCGTGACCACCGCAGCCATTGTCTGTAAACCGCGGGTGCCCAGAATATTCTGTTATTAAAAGCTTCGTAGAAACTGTTCATCGACTCCAGCCTGTATTTGGATAACCAACATCCTCCTCGTCCGAAATTCAACGAACACGCGGGGCAAAGAAGGCCATTTTCCCCCAACAGTAGAAAATCCTTCTCATTTGATTGCATGGAAAAAACTGTTGACTTTTTCCGATTATGTTTACAGTCGCTTTTTCTTTTGGAATCATGTTGTTGTCCAATACAAAGGCACAGGTTAAAAACTTGTGCGATTGGATCAGCTGCAGTTGTAGTACAGACCTTAAAAAAATGCATAATCTAATTGGATCCAATGGAACTTCCTTGAAAAACTATACTTCATCAAGCTGCTTCAGAGTACAAAATATGAGTTGAAAGCACATGACCGCTGGCTGAGCTACAGATAGTATTATAAGGAATAATTCTTCAAATGTACTTTGATCCATTGAAAGGCGGCAATTTACAGTATACTGAAAATATAATACAGCAGTACCTGGACGTACGAGTGCCCCGATTTAATACGATTTCAAGTTCCAAGCCATCGCATGGTAATTTTTTTTCCTTTTTTTAAAAAAACAAATTGTATTGCGAGCAAGCATTTCATACCCTACTGCTCGATGGAAGTGTAAAAAAGAAAACCTGTCAACACACAAATACTACAGTGAGTGCATGGGATTTTATAGGCTTCAGAAGATTTGATAAAAGTTTATTCCTTTACATTCTCTTTTACCTACAGTATGAAGCCCTTTGACACTCCTTTGTGGGTCTGTACAAATAAATTTGACTTGGCCTTTGACTTGATTTGATTATGCGTTTAGATGTATATTTTGGAGTACAATACGATATTTCTTTATTTAGTAATTAATGTAAATTCCATTCATTTCTGTGGGTACCATTGGTTTGATAGATTTTATGAATTAAATTTATACATTTATAATATTCATCATGTATACAAGGCAGACCTTGTGAGGATAAGCTCACAGTAATGTCCAAATTATCCATTTACAGTATATTGTATTTTGTGATTTCCACTCTTGCTGCTTAAATGTTGCTGCGACACTCCAAACTTTCCATTTTTTTCCATTTGACTTTTTTTTTTTTACATTCTTGTAGGTCTTTAACTCTGTGTGCTCCTGTTTTAATTTTTTTTTATGCAGTCATTCACACCACCAATGGAAACTCTGCCGGCGCTCCTTGTGAGTTCCCCTTCAAGCACAATGGAAAATGGCATCACGAATGCCTCCCAGATTCTGACTTGCCAGGACTCTCCTGGTGCTCCACCACCACCGACTACGATCAAGACAGAAAGAAGGGGACCTGTCTAAAACCTGGTATGTTTAAAAAAAATAATAATAATTTTTAAAAAGTACTCGGGTCTGATTTCCTAAGATCTCAAACAGCGGGCGCTAAATTGCATGTTCCTTCAGAGATGTTGATGGGCATGTTGCAGGTGATGTGCTAAGATTTTGGCAGAGACCACTTTATCTAAATCATTAGATTTACACTCTTGTTACTTCTGATCGTTTTCACTATGAAAAGTTTTGGAGAGCTCTGGAAGTGCCAAATGAAGTTTGAAATAGTGGAACTGGAAGTGTTGGTGGGAGACGCAAATGAAACTTGGATATTTCATCACAACGTTTGACTCATGTTGAGTTCCATACAGCTAGCACATTCAGAGCAAGTGTCTGCTTATGATTGCAATATATGAGTCAAGTTCCACAACAACTAATAATATTTGTGAAGTTAGCAATCGTGTTCTATTTGATTTAACTAAATTCAAAGAGTGTGATTTGGACATAGTGCTCTAGTCTGAGTAACGTTGCGTTTAAATCTTGGTGCAGCATACCTGAAAAACTGCCTTGGGAAAGCACAGCACCAATTGCCAGAGTGCACTGGGCTGACCCAGATGCAAGGAAATGCAAAATTGAAAGGACTTTTGTCATAGGTGGTACACTGTGCCATGACCCCTTCTTGTGACTGACTTTGCCATAAGAACTGGCATGTCCAATCCTCAGTGGCTGCTTTCCTCCCTTTTGTAAATTTGTACCTCCTGTGAAGAAACAGAAAAATGATCCTTATCATTTGAATTAGCCATGTTGGAGGTGGAACCCATCTAAAGCATGTCGGACAATGGCCCTTTAGAACCGAGTATGGAGACCCCTGCGTTAGATCAGTCAGAAGCTCCAAAATTGCACTCTTGAGTAACAGATGAAATGTCTTTATTTTGTTTCTGGCATTGCAGACGTGTTTGCACACACCCTTTGCCGCAATAACCAAGGCAATAAGACCTTCCTTTCAGATGGTATTTTCTGACACAAAATCAGCTCACATCACGTGTGTTGAATTAATCTGTTTGCATCGACCACTCAGTATTTTTGCGCGTTTTGGTTGAAATGAATAAAATGAATTGCGCTACAAATTTACCCGGTGGATAGATGCAATCCTGGGTGCAACCAGTTATTAAATCAGCTTCTACATTTGTTTGCTGCCGTTTTTATGTGCACAAACATTTAGTCAATCAGACCCTTAGGGTTCGTTTTATACAAAAAACAAACACTCAACTGTCTCACCGACTTTTCAGAGAAAGGTTGCCATACTCTTTTTACCGGGCCGGAGGGGAACTCCTGCTATCAATTTGTTCCCAATGCCGCCGTAACCTGGCACCAAGCGCTAGATTCCTGTCGGAGCCAAGGAGCGGATTTGCTCAGTGTGACTACCCTGGATGATCTCCACTCCTACACATGTAAGAATCAACTGACAAAAACAACTTACACATGTATCATATAATGATACAAATAATACATCACATAGATGGGAACTGGAGTCATTGCAACTTTGTTACTGAAGTCAACTGGATGTTTTGATAACTTGTGACTTGTACTGACAAAACACTACAACTCTGCAGATTCAACTTGGACTTGTGTGCAGAGCCGATTAAAACATTTATTTAATAGTCTTGAAGTCCACGTTTATGTCACTTTTCGCATTTACTCTTTGTCCTCACTATTAAGACAAGTCAGTGCACTAGTAGAACGATGGTTGCACCATAAGAATGACCGACTAGTGACTAGTACTAGTGCCACTTTTGGCCAGTTTGTAGACAACTTGCTAGTACGCCAATGTTGTCCTAACTAGTGTGCGGTAATGTCAAAAAGTTGTGAAAAACTGTAGTGCAAAAACATTTAAAACACACTTGTGCTCTGTAGGCCTTTTGCTAGTGTTTGAGTATTTATTTGAGATTGATATCCAGTTTAAGGTCCATGTACCAGTATGCGCTTTGTGTTCACCAGTAAGACAACTTTGATATGCTAGTAGGACAACTACATGTTAGTGAGGCAAAACTGCACACTAATTGTCCACTGTGTGCTACTACTTCTACTAGTAAAATGTAGCTGCCCTACTCGTGTGTGGAAATATTATATGGTACTGTGGAAAAATATTACTGATAAGGCAGTCATTTTACTAGTGGCTGCTAGTTTTTTATTTATACTAAGGAAATTGAATAAATGCTCAAACAGCTTTCTACAGATGTGAGAGTTAGCCTCGGGACTTGACATGAGATATGATGAGATGATATGCGTCAATGTGGTTTCAATGAATCGGCCAGTGACATCATTATCTGACCTTACTCTTCCCTTCCTGAAGACCAGATACCGCATCTAATACCGCATTAATAAGGGCACTTGAAGGCTAAGACTTGAGACGAACACATGCGTGACTTGATCCCATCTCGGACATAATCAGTCATATTGTGATCTTTGACTGTGTCCTTCCACTGGACATTGTCAGTCCTGTTTTTTATTGATTCTGACCTCTCTCACTTTCTGCTTTCTCAATGAGTCCTGTGGTGTATGCTTGGTTCAGTTTTAGATGGTCTCAACATGATGCCGGAGAGGATGTGGATAGGCCTCCATCAGTTAGACGCATCTCAGGGCTGGCAGTGGTCAGATGGCTCTCCGCTCTCAATGCTGCGCTGGGAAACAGGTGCTTGTTCTCCTCATTTTCTTTGATAAGATTAAGATTGCAATAGGTTTGGATGATTTCTGGTCAACTTCCAGAAATTTTCCAATAATGTTCACGGAAGTTAAAGTTTGGGAATTTTGGGAATACTTAGATACACATATTTAGTATTTAATATAAGAAAATCAGTCATTCAACACCACATTTCAATATTTTAAAGATCTTAACTTTCTATCAGTAATAATTCATTGTCTTTGTTTTTTATTTCCATCTCCAGTGAATACCCTGCAATTATGTACAGTACTGAGTTGTATACAATGTACCCATAGTCAGCGCAATTAGATTGCTGATATAATTTCTGCTGAGTCATGTGGCTCACTTTTCTCTCCTCATCTAGATGGCTAAAAAGGTTACAGTAACAAGGTGGCGTGTATGTTGACACAACTTCATAGCATAACAATTATTTCAAATGTTCAAAGTGAGTTGTACATGCAGTATGCTAAAATATACTTTGTATGTAATTTGAAGTTCACATGACCTCAGTAAAATTTGACTGTATTGAGTTTGAATGAAACATCTATCTTGATAAAATCTGGCTCTCAATAAACATTTGGTGTGTGTTGGTGGTGGTGGTGGTGGTGGCGAATGGCTTGAGTTGTTCAGAAGCTCACTGTGCCTGGTCGTACTCTTGCTGAGCAAGCCCATGAATTGCACTGAATACAAGTCAACTAGTTATCGTACTATGGTATAGCTCTTTTCAATCTCTAAAAGTGAAAGAGACTAAAGCTATTAGACTGACATGAGCTCTCTGCTGATATTTAGCGCACGCCACTGTAAATTCTTGATAAAGCTATCAGACTGATATGAGCTCTTTGCTGATACATGGAACATGCCATTGTAGATTCTTGAAGATATTTCGCCCAGACATGCCTGGAACTTGACTTTGTGAAGAAGCCTTTTGAGTCATAAGGGAGAGGGAGGGAGGTATCTTCAAGAATCTGTTGTTCTTGCTGTTAACTCAGCCCCTCAGATAAGGGATACCGTGAACATTGAAAAGACAGCCGGAGGCGAATGCCACTTCTCTGCTCTTCCCTCATGACATGTTTTTGTATGTTTTTCTGTGTCAGGAATGCCCCCCGTCTCTCTAATCATTGCGTCAGACTGTGGAGTCCTGACCACCAAGCAAAAGTATGAAACTGAAGCATGCAGCAAACAACTGCCATACATCTGCAAGAAGATAGTCAACGCTACTCAAACTGGGCCATCGGGTAGCTTACACCTCACTTTAATGTCAACCTTTCTGTCACTTTTAGCCTTGGTTGATTGGGTTGAGAACACATTTTATGGCCTTACTCTCCCTGCAGAGTCACTCGCGTATAAAGAGACAGTGTGTGCTCCTGGTTGGGTCCCGTGGAATGGCTGGTGTTACAAGTTAGTGACGGACAACCCTTCTAACTTCACGGATGCACAGCAGTACTGTAACCACACAGCAGGAGGAAGCTTTCTTGCCAGCTTCCACTCCATCGACAGCAAGGAGATGATCAGCACCAATTTTCATGCTGGTTTGTCTCTCTTAAATGTTTTTCTGTCAATGAATGGAATAGAAGAGAAACACGCTGATATGTTTCGCACTTTTTTACACAATTACGATACTCACAAAAAGGTAAGGATATCATGCTGTGGGACGAAATTTCAGGATGAACTTAGATGGCATTTTAATGATCGGCCAATAAATGTCCGGGTTCAACTAGTTTGTTGAAACAGTCATCTTCAACAATTGATTGGACACGACCTCACTATTGAGAAGCTTCAAACAGGGTGTTCCCAGAGGGAAATGGCCACTGATTTTAGAATGTCACACTCAAGTATCATTAGCAGGTTGCAAAGCGATACAGACACATTGGATAAGTCAAAGAATGCACACACAGCCTTAGAATTTCTCAAACACATCTTGTGAATTTTGATCGTCAGCTTCTTTTTTAGAGATTGTTATGAAAAAAAGTACAGAAACAATGAATAGCTGAACATTTGAAGGATTAAATCAGATCAAATAAAGTTCACCTGTAAATGTCGTGGTTTTTAGGTTCATCCTGAAATTTCACCAGGAAGCCCAATCGCTCTTAACTTTTTGTGAGTACAGTGAACACTTGCTATCTGCAGGGCAAAGGGACTGAGCCTGCCACAAATAGCAAAAATCGCTGAGCAATTGACACCCATAGAATGAGGTTTGTAATTACCTGTAGATTCCAAATCGATGGAGGCAATGCATCTTTTTCTGTTAGATGAAAATATGGCCAGACAAAATAATGCTCTTCTCCTCAGTTCAGCATAGGTGCTTGACACCAGATTGCATCAAAACAATATTTTTGTACGAGATATGCCTCTGGTCTTAGTTTTAATAATAGGACAGGTTACCACACAAAAAAAAAAAAAAATTGGCAACTGGGCAAATCTGTGAATACTCAGCCGTGAATATATAAGGATCCATTAGAGTTCATACTCTAATGGATCGTTGTGCGTTACTTTTTGTCAGATGGCCAGCAGTTCAATGTGTGGATCGGGCTGGTCGGAGAGGGCACAAATCCCACGGTCTTCAAATGGGTGGACCAGACACCAGTCACCTTCACATTCTGGGGCCCAAATCAGCCATTGAAGCCTTCGCAGGACATCAGCTGCGTATTCTACTCCTCGGTGTGTGTGTGCATGTGCGTGTGTGGGTGGGGGGGATGATGTTTCGAAAAGTACATTTCATTTACTACACAAACTAGTTCAAAGTTCATAACAATCAAGTCATATTGGCCGCTGTCAAATGCTGTGGGTATGCCCGTTAAATACTCTTGAACCACGCCCCGTTCAGCTGTCAATCAAATGTCACTGCTACTACCTGAAAAAATGAATTTATCTAGCATCTTTTGTCAACTAATAACTGTTTGATTAATTGATCTAAATATATTCGCTGATAGCATCCAGTGGCTACAATATGTCATTGTCATTGTGGGGCCTTGCTGTGACAACAAGGAGCTCAAAAGCCGTGCCATCGCAAAGCTATCCATACACTGGTTGCCAGATCAGACTTTTTTTTCTTACCTTGCTTTTCCCCCGTCTCTCTTGTGAACTGTGCATACTCATGGCAGACAATGAGGCACTCTATAGCAACCAAGCCAACCGCATGGCACGGTTGCACTGATGACTGCTGATGTGAACAATGGTGCTTTTAATGGAGAAGCTGGGACTCATGCCCAGGCCAAAGTGCATCACTTGGCACCATTTTAGCCACGTCCCTCAAAAATTGGGAAAAATGGAATGGTGGAAAAAAAATAAAATTAACAGCTCTCAATCAATCAGTATCTCAACCCAATTAACTTTACCTCTCTCCAATTGAATTGTCATCCACAGAGATTAAAATAAATTAACTATTTTAACAAAGAAAGGAGTAGAAAGTACTCATACCTGTTACCAAATGTAAAGAATAAATTAAAAAAAAATTGATATTCAAGTTGAGTACAAATACCTGAAAAAACTTTTTCAGTACATTATTTGTAGTTTATTATTTGCCACATTATTTGTACTTTATTACTTGCCACATTATTTGTACTTTATTACTTGCCACAAAATTAAAACTCTTTTATGTCTCCCCAAAGTCTCATGATTGGCAGGTCGGCCGCTGTTCTGAGAAACAAGCTTTCATGTGTCAGACAAAAGGAGAAGTCAGCGAATCATCGGGGACGGCCGGTTGCCGCTTTGAAGATGTGAGTACGGCCTGCATACCGAATTTCAAAGTGTGAAACGCATTCACAATTTGGCCTCTTATTTCGAGTATACTTGAGGCACTGAATACTAGATTGGACTTAACTGTATTTTTCGTCAATTTGCAAGACAGTAAATTCAAGTTTTATGCCGTCAATAAAATCTGATGGATTTATTTCTTGGTTATTTACATGGCAATGATTACTTCCTTGCAGATCCACTGGCACCCAAGCTGAAGCACTTACTTACCGTATTTTTTGGACTTAATTGCTGTGGAGTATAAATTGCTCCAGTCATGCATCATAGATTAAAAAGAAATATACATTGCACTCGACTATAAGTCACATTTTTTGTGGAAATCCATTTTACAAAAAGTGAGGACAAGAGCAGTAGAGGTCGGAGTCACGAACAAAATCCTTGTTACCTAATTGTGTTGATGGCAGCAAATGAGTTCCGGTTGGATTTGCAACTTCGGTTTCCAACTGTGCAAATATTTTTCTTTTCAGTTTAAAATTGCTTACATTAACAAGACTGAAAATTACTATTTTCTCAGAGGAGCAATTTTGCTAATCAATACGTCGATACTTCATAATGTACGTCGCAGTAATAGCTTAGTCCGGCACAGGCTCACACACAAGCGGGACTCTCTTCCCCGATCGGTTGTGAGGGAGCCACTGGGGGTGCCGTACTGTGAATGTCCATGTTATGAGGAGTCAAGCTTCTGTCCGGACTGAATTAGGTTATTGATGTCACAGTTTTTAGACCATGTTTCTGCAATAATATGACAACATATCACTGCTGTTGATATTCAGGGCTGGAGGAGACACGGCAACTCCTGTTATCAAGTGAACACCACACAAGTGTCTTTCAAAGATCGCTGTCACATCACTATAAGAAACAGGTAGGAGTTGGTTCACCTTGCGACTTGACTGGCACCAAGAAACACTTCTGACTTTCGTACTATAGCAGTACTATACCAGTACTCAAACGGTCAGACGAACAAACTGCCAAAAGCTAAAATGTCAGTGAAAGCGGTGGAATTGTCGATGTCAAATGTCTGAACAGTCAATTTTATTTATTTTTTCTAGGTTTGAGCAGGCCTTCATCAGCCGTTTGCTTGGAGATTATATTAGTGATACGCCTCAGTATTTCTGGATTGGGCTGCAGGATGTTAAGAGCACAGGAGAGTATCAATGGCATGGCCAGGATGATTCCCAAGTTCAAGTTACATACACCAATTGGGACTATTTTGAACCAGGTATGTAATTCTGCTCTTTATAAAAATGTAACAATGAATTATTGGTCCATTGAAAGGCAATAGAGTCACATGCAGCAGGGTGGACTAATGAGTCACAAGGCTCGTATGATGAGAAATTACCTTCATGTTAATGAGAACAATATATGTTTCACCTATTTCATCCCCCTCTGTCCACAATTGTTGATTCAAACTCCACATTGAACTTGATCACAATCAACTTTATGATATATTCAAAATAACACACACGCATACATGCACGCGCACACCCATACACATAAGCAACACATCAACTTGGGTTAAATTTTGGGAGGGCTAAGAAAAATGAAAATATATCTTCCTACTCCCTTGTTGATGCCTTTGGCAATGAGGTAATAATTTCGGTCCTGCCTGTTCATCTATTTGTGTTACTCAAAACCTACTTCAAGAAAGTGTTATATTCAAAGTTCTACTCGATTATCCTTTTTTCTTTCAGCGCACGATGGAGGTTGTGCTGTGGTCACCACCACTGCACACGGCCTGGGAAAGTGGGAGGTGAAAAACTGTACGCTCTTTAAGGCTGGCACCATTTGTAGGACAGACCTCAGCCCAGTTATACCACCAGAACCTGAACCGGACCTAACCTTGCCATGCCCAGATGGATGGGTATCCGTACCGGACTCCAAATACTGCTACAAGGTAAGTGAGTGACTGAGTGTTTTGCCAAGGAGATGTACTTCATTCGCAATATCATTCACATTATTCACACAAAAGCTACATAAACTACTAATAAACTCCTTTTATTCACCAGTAAGACAATTCACTGTACGAGTAGCACAACTTCCTAAAACGAGTAGAAAAACAACCTTACCTGTAATGTTTTTCCAACTACTAGCGCCAACATGTCCACGAATAGAATTGCCTCACTAGTAACATGTATTTGTCCTACTAGGATGCCAAAGCTGCATGTATAGCTGGGTATCAACAATATGGAATACCTGTAAATGAGCATTTTTTCACTATCCTTTCACTTGTACAAATGTACCACTTGTCCTGAACATAATTCAACACTCTCGTAGAATGAATAAGGGCATATGCTAGTAGAATGACTGTCTTAAAACTGGATAACCTGGAGATCAGGGATATGGAGTAAATGCTATAACAGCTTGCCACAACACAAAAAAATAAAAAATAAAAAACTTTATACAGCTTTATTAGAGTCGAACTGAATGCATCATTTTAATTCCCACGCTGCTTTGTCTCTTTTTTTTCTGAATCAGGTGTTTCACGAGGAGAGGCTCAGTCGCAAACGTTCATGGGAGGAAGCCGAGAGGTTTTGTCAGGCCCTTGGAGCCAATCTGCCCAGCTTCACCACTCTGGATGAGATGAGAGCTCTGCATGGTATCATGAGAGACACCATCAGGTACAGACTGTGGCTATTTTATGCTAAATGAAGCATACACCTGAATGGCAGGGGCTAGTCCTAACCGGTGGATTGCCATCCAATGTTCTTGTTGCTGCAGCGATGATCGCTACTTCTGGGTCGGCCTGAACAGAAGAAACCCAGCCGACCGCTCTTGGCAGTGGAGTGATGGCCGTCCCGTGAGTAAAACATAAATCTTAATGTTATGTCACGTTAGTGGTCACAGTGTGTGTGTGTGTGTGTGTGTGTGTGTGTGTGTGTGTGATATATATATATATATATATATATATATATATATGTGTGTTTCACACATCCCACACAATTTAAATACATTTTAACTTATGAAGACACTTTTGCATTTATTGAAATACACTTAAGGGCCTGTTCTCAGTTTTCTGCGGTCAAGACATGGGAGCTGCATCACATCAGTCCCACTTTGAGGAACCTTAGAGTCTCTCACACTCATGCTATACGCTGTTTTTTTCGTCATTCCCAGTTAAAGCTTACCATAAAACCAACATATAGAATACATTCAAACACTTTCACCCAAATCATATAACAAATTATGGGTACCTTAATGACAACAAAAATTATATAAATAACATAAAAGCCAAAGACCACTAAGGAAAATAAAGCATCAGTGTTACGGTAAACATAAACCTTCAAACAACTGCTACCTTACCACACATGGAGCAGCAACACATGTAAACAAAGCATACAACATTACTCACAGCCATGCACAGTGTTCTCTGCTATTTGGGAACAACTGGGACTGTGCAACTTAATAGGATCGAATACGTGAACTGCGTAAAAATATAATATCAAAGTTTTTTTTTTTTTTATGTATTTTTTGGGGAGCTCATTCTCTTGCGCATGTCTGTAAGGGTGTGTCCAATATGACAAAATAACAATGATGTTATTTGATATGTCTGTCCTTTAGGTAACTATGGATGTTTTACATGATGACTTCCATGAGGATGATGCGTACAGTCGGGACTGCACTGCGCTTAAGGTGACTTTGAATGTCGTTATCTTTAGTTCATGTTGTGATGTGTTATTGTATGTAAAAATACCTAAATAGAAAATGGACAATTTTTGTCTGTTTTGAAAGAGCTCATATCCGTCGATTTAATCGGCCAGCCAGTTCATCAGTTGGGCCCGACATATTAGCATTATTCGAACTGCTACTTGAAACCTTACTTTCGTTTCACATCAGAAAACTTAAGAGTAGAGTTATCCCCTTCTTGTCGGAGAAGTAGTGATCTCAACTTTGTATTTTTGCTGCAATGACATTAATGCAAAAAAATGTATCCCCCTCATTAGACAATGAAGAGAACTATGAAGCATCTCCTCATATTTTTATTCCACGACCTCCTTCCTACATCTTTCCACGCGACACCGTTTCACTGTGATGCCAAACTGGAATGGGTCTGCCAAATCCCTCGTGGTAAGACATATCAACATTAAAAAATCTGAACTAAAATGTTATCTGAGCAAAACGGCAAAGAAATTACACAAATGACTCTAAAGGCAGGGCAACGAAGGCAAGGCAGCTTTATCTATATACTGTAGCACCTTTCACACACAAGGCAACACAATGTGCTTCACACAAATAAAGAAGCAGCACTAGAATCATTTAAAAACACGATTAAAATCATAAGCAATGAATAGAAAACAAAAGAAGCTTACAAAAATTACTGAAAGAACGCACATTGAAAATATTTAAACATGTTAAGAGAAAAGTTTTGTAAGTCAAGTATAGTACAATACAATACATCTTTATTTACTGTATGTAGCTCTTTCACAACTCCTGCACCTGAACCATGTTTGGACTATTCCATTTAATGCCACCCAAGTTTCCAACCTGTTCAACAGTATACAGGCGCTCCCCGCTTTACGAACTTTCGTGTTGCGAACAACGGTACATACGAACATTTTTGCGGGTACAGGTATGTCGAAAAATGTTCTCGGACAGAGATGCTGTCAGTCAGATTTTGTATTGCGCGCCTTTTTCCGAGTACTGTAGTACTTCTTTCCGCCGCTAATACCGACGTGAGGCGCTGTGAGAGGAGGAGGAGGAAACGCTTGTCCCCATGAAGAAGTTCGAGACGGAACTCTCTCCCCCTCCATCATCTCCTTAGCCTTCGAGTACATCTTCCAAAAGTATGTTAAACTTCATTTTATTACACTTACATAAGCCTTAAACATACTTATATAAGCCTTAAACATACATTCCATACAAAATATAGCACTGAAGCAACTTACGTACGAATTCAGCCAGCGAACGATCCTTCGGAACATATCTCGTTCGTTACCTGGAGAGCGTGTGTACATGTATTGTAATCAAATGCTGCACGGAGATCCAACAAGACTAGCTCTGACACCTTATGTCATTTACTACTTTAATAAGGGCTGTTTCTCTACTTTGATGAGGTCAGAAACCTGATTGGAATGCATCAAAAACTCAGTTTGAAGTTCAAGAATTTGCTGAATTGATTAAGAACCATTTTCTTGACACTCTTGGTTAGGAAAGGAAGGATTGAGATGGGTTTATAATTTGCTACCAAGGGGACATCCAGCACTTTCAAAAAGGGGTCTGATGGTGGCGACTTTCAGCGCTTTAGGAAGCTTGCCCAACTGTTGTAAGCAGTTGATGATTTGCTACAACTCGTTTTGAACACAATAGTTTTGAAAAAGTCCAATGGTATTGAGTCAAGTCCGACAGTTGATGGTTTCCACTGCTGAACCAAATCTGTTCAATTTTTTTTTTTTTTTGATGATGTGCCCTGCGATACTGTTAGTAGCAAAGGAATTGCATAAGAAAAATCGAGATTGAATGCTTACTTCTGTAAGTGCAAAGATCCTGCGATTATGATGTCACTGGACAGTGAAAACTACCCAAAAAGTACTTTCAGTTGTAACATTCTTTTTGCTGAACTCCTTCAAAACAACATCAAACAGCTGCAGCTCATTCAGAACGCGGCAACTCGGTTACTGACTAAAACAAAGAGCTCAGAACATTTTACTCCACTTCCAAAGGCTTTACAGTGGCTGCCAAATAGCTGAATTTTAAAATTCTGCAACAGGTCTATAAATCACTGAATGGTTTGGTCCCGGAATACATGATAGAAATGCTGATTAACTAAACCCAGTAGGTCTCTGAGAATTGCTGAGTTGGGTCAGTTTCTTTGCTTTACTTTTAAATGTTGTTAAAATTTGCTGCCACTGTGTTTAAATGTTGTCAATATATGTCCTCGTCATTTTTGGAAGCTACCTAAATGCTTGTAGGTGGTGTGTCTTTGCTTGTAGCACATTGAGTTGCCTTGTATATGAATGAACCTGCCTTCTTTTGCCTTGATGCTTTGCATGTGAATACAATACAATACAATACATCTTGATTTATATAGCGCTTTCACAACAGTGATTTAGATATGACAATGCTGTCATGCACAATTAACGTGTTAATTTGGAAAGTCGTTTGAGCTTTTATTCAAAATCCTGGATATCTACTGGGGCTCTTTTGTCCCACAAGTAAGACAGTTTAGCGCACTAGCAGAGCGACTGTCTTCCTAGTCACTTTTGGTCTCCTTTTACAACCTTAAAATATCAAGGATATCGAATGCCGATAAATGCTGAAATTACTTTTTATAGATTGAAGCGTTTGGTTCTCAACAAGCTATTACCATGATATGATTTTAATCATCTTTATTGGCCAAGTATGTAAAAATACAATGAATTTGTCACCGGTAGAATAAGTCACAGCGGTAGCAACTATAACGAATGAGTGAGTGAGTGAGAGTGAGAGTGCGAGAGCCTTTGTATCATGTAAGGGGACTGTTATTGCTATGACGCTTAAAATCCAATCTTTGCTTTATTCAATAGGAAAGACCCCAACGCACCCAGACTGGTACAATCCAGGTAATACAAGTATTTACTTATTTTAGTTTTTTATTCGCATTTTTCCCAATGGTGTACCGTAATTCAGGTCCGTTGTGCCCTTGAAATAGACTCATCATGCATGTTTGTGACTGGTTCAAATCTAAAGATTAAGTTTTCAGAATTTCTGCAGTTCTCAAATTTGCAAAGTCCCATGATAATGTATGATGGGAATAAATCTTTATGACAAAACAAAATGTTTTATATTCATGCTTGAATGTTGTGTCTTTTTTTACATTAAGTTGCCAATTGTGTTGTGTTTCCCAGGTGTGCACCATGAGACATCCATCTTTATCGATGGTAGCGAGTATTGGTTTGTGAACGAGCCTTGGCTGACTTTTGAGGAGGCAACACTGTTTTGCGCGATGAATGGAAGCAAAATAGCTTCTCCGCCAAGCTCCACCGCTGCCAGACTCATCCACAAGAACCTAGAAAAGGCAAGTTTTCTCGGAATTAGAGCCAGTAACTCCTGAGTGGACACGCATAAGGCACAACCTAACAGTAATATGTCATGTTTGTCAATTTTTGTCTCTGTGGTTCTAAATGTCATGGTTGCCAAATTGCATTGTTACATACTGAAGGGTAATTCTGATAGTTTGCCTATTTCACTAAATTATCCCAAAGGTTTTGTGAGGACAGTGTATATTACAAATTACAAACACGTCTTACAGTCATGCTTCTGCAACTTGCAATGCACAAAAAGGCTACCAGTATTGATTTTAAAATGATTCTGAGCAGTTGTCAAGTTCTTCCAAGCAAGGTTGGTGGGTCAATATGAGAGATCCCAGGCGGATGTTCCCCATGACGTAAGGCAATACGCTCACACAGAATTGCTGTTCGTTTTGCACTCTTAATTTACAGCACATGTACATGTGTATGTGTTCCAGGCATTCGCGGCTACACTTATATTATTCAGCTCTCTTTGGCAGATGCACCTCCATCAGTCCTGAGAGCGCCATTCCAAGTGAGTAAATAAGGTTGAGCTGAGCGTGTTCAACCCGCAGGCCTTGTTTGATTTCATTACTCTTCCTTTCTTTGTTAGCCAAAAATAGTCAGTTTGTTATGCTTTTTTTTTTTTTTTGCGTGAAGTTTTTAACCGACATCCTTTCTTGTTAAAAGAATATCCATTTGTTTTCATTGTTCACCCCTTCAATTTTCTTTTTTCTTTATTTTTGCACAATGCACAGGTTGGAAAACAACCTACAAAATTATGCTTTTTTTAAATATTCTCAGTAGTATAACCACCTTTTTCTTATATTGCTAATAATGCAGTTTTTCTACAGCCATCTAGAGAAAGGTTTTCACTTTTTAGATTAAAATGTATGGTAGATAATTTCCATGGTCCCCAGACGGAATCTCCAATTCTTCCCCAACAACAAACCCTGGATCACCAAGGAGCTGAAAAAGATCATCAACAGGAAGAAGCGCATCTTCTTCTCGAGCACCGAGGTCGAGAAGAAGGAGATCAACAGGAAGGTCAAGAGAGCCATCAAGATCGCCAAGCTGCAATACAAGCGCAAGGTGGAGGAGAAACTTAATGGCGGTAACCTCCGTGCAGCCTGGCAGGGCCTGAAGAAAATGGCAGCTGTGAACACCACCTCCAGCACCGCCCCCACCGTCATCCCTGGGAGCAGCCCAGCCTCCCTCGCCAATGACCTCAACTCCTTCTACACCAGGTTCGAGACTGATAACTCCACGCAGCTCACCAACATCAGGTCCCACCTCCAGCCCGGCAACTCCACAATCACATTCCACACTGAGGACGTTGTGAGGGCCCTCAAGAGGACCAAGATCAACAGTGCACCAGGAGCCGACAACGTCAGTGGCCGGGTCCTCAAGTACTGCGCTGACCAGCTCGGGAGCGTCTTCCAGCTCTTATTCCAGTCCTCCATGAACACCGCCACCGTCCCTAAACTGTGGAAGCACTCCACCATTACCCCCATTCCCAAGAACAATAACCCCAAGACCCTGAACGACCTCCGCCCTGTGGCCCTCACCTCCCACGTGATGAAAGCCATGGAGAGGATTGTCAAGCAGCACATCCTCACAAAGACCAGCTCACGCCTCGACCCCCTCCAATTTGCATACCAGGCAGGCAAAGGTGTCAACGATGCCAAAGCCTTCATCATCGACACCATCCACAAACATCTGGAATTCCCCAACACCCTGGCCAGGCTTCTGTTTGCTGACTTCTCCTCTGCCTTCAACACCCTGCAGCCTCACATCCTTGCACAGAGGCTCAAGCAGAACTTCTCCTTGAACAACCAACTCATCCTCTGGATCCTAGACTTCCTCACACACCGTACACAGAGAGTCAGGATCAACAACAACCTGTCTGACCTCCTCGCCACCTCCACAGGCTCCCCACAGGGCTGCGTGCTCTCGCCACTGCTCTTCATCCTGATGAATGCAGGTCCTCACACCCCAACAGCCACCTGGTGAAGTTCGCTGACGACACTTTCCTAGTGTCTCTGCTCTCCGGCTCCACGCAACACCATGGTCCCGCCCTGCAGCAGTTTGTTGAGTGGTGTGACGCCTCCCGGCTGGAGCTGAACGTCAGCAAGACCAAGGACATGCTGGTGACCTTCTCCAGAAAACAGAGAGAGCTGGCCTCGACAATCCCCACCATCATCCAGGGGACTCCAGTGGAAACTGTATCAGAA